CAATGGCAGGTACTGAGAGAACTAAGAGGGAGAAAGCGTACCTGACTCTCACTCTCAAATCTAATCGCTGCATATTCTTCTGCCCATGATAATATCACTAAGAGTGACCACCTCACTGTCATTGTGGAAACGAAGCTCTACTTTCATTTTGAGGATATCCTTATTGTGTGTGGCACTATACGATAGATTTCGACCAGATCTTGCAACTCAAGACTGTGTATTCATTAAGCGCTATAGGTCAGCAATAGGAGAATAGTACTCCAGCACAAACTGCAACCTCATGACCTGGCTTATCCTCCATTCTAAAGCGATAAGCAAGCCAGGAGATCAAAAACAAAAATTGCTGGAAAAGCTCAGCACTTCTGGCAGCATCTGTGGAGAGAAATCAGAGTTAATGTTTCAGGTCAAGTGACCCTTCCTCAAAACCAGGAGATCAATCCTGGTTCAATGAAGAATGCATGCCAGGAGCAGCATGAGACAGACCTAAAAATGAAGTATCAACCTGGTGAAGTTACATCACAGGACTACTTGCATGTCAAAACGCATTAGTAGCAAGTGATATATGCAGCTAAGGAATTTCACAACAAACCTAAAGTAAAAACGGAAATTGGTGGTGAAACTCAAGTCTGGCAGCAATTTTGTTAGGGAGAAGAGTCACCAGACTTGAAACATTGACTCTGCTTTCTCCCCACAGACGCTGCCAGATTTGCTGAGTTTCACCAGCAATTTGTTTTTGTTTCAGATCTCCTGTGTCCATAGTTATTTATTTTTGGATCAAAACTGAACTATGCAGACCAGCCACATCTAGTTATGAAGGGTGGTGGATCAATTAAACTCACTGGAGGCAGCAGCTCCACTAAAATCCCCATCTTCAATGAATAGCGAGCCCAGTATATAAGTGCAAAACAAAGCTGAAGCACTCACTACAATAGTGAGCAAGAACTGCCAAGTGGATGATCCATCTTGACCTCCACCGGGTGACCCCAATATCACAGATGCCAGTTTTCAGCCAATTCTACTCACTCCACAGGGCATTAAGAAACTACCGAAGGCACTGGATTCTACAAATGGTTATGGGTTCTGACAATACCCCAGCAATAGAAAGAACATGCCAAACTCCTAGCTAAGCAGTTCCTGTACAGCTACAACACAGGCATCTCTCTGGCAATTTAGAAAATTGCCTAGATGTTTCCTGGATATAAATGGACATCAAACAACCAATTACCATCTCATCATTCTCCTCGCGGTAAAGTGATGGAAGGAGTCATCAACAGTGCTATCAAGCAGCTCTTGCTTGGAAAATAACTCGTTCACTGATGCTCAATTTGGGTTCCATCAGGGCCACTTAGCTCCTGACCTCTTTACAGCCGTAGTTCAAATATAAACAAAACAGCTAAATTCCAGGGATCAGGTGAGAGTGACTGCCCTTGACATCAAAGTCACATTTGTCAGAGGGAGTCTTTAAGGAGCCCTAACAAAATTACAGTTCGTGGGAATTGGGAGAGAACTCTGCTTTTTAGTAGTTACACCTAACAAAAGAAATTAGCTTTGATTGTTGGAGATCAGACATCTCCAGCATGTGGGAATTGCTCATGGTCACGTCGTCAACCCAGCCATCTTCAGTTGCTTTATTCATGACATTCCTTCGATAATAAGGTCAGAGTTGGGTTATTCACCGACAATTGCACAATATTCAGCACGATTCACAACTCAAATGCTGAAGCAGTCCATGTTCAAAGGCAGCAGGATCTAGACAGTATCTGGGCTGATCAGTGGCAAGTAACATTGGTGCGATACAAATGCCTGGCAATGACCAGTAGCAATGAGAGAATCTAACTGTTGCCCTTTGACATTACCATCACCAAATCCTCTGTCAGCATTCTGGGGTTACTATTGACTAGAAACTGAACCGGAGTAGCCATATAAATACTGTGGCTACAAGAGCAGGACAATGGCTAAAAACCCTACGGATACTTCACTTCCTGACTCTCCATTAACTGTCCACCATCTACAAAAGTACAAGTCAGGACTGTGATGGAATACTCCTCACTTGCCTGGGTGAGAGCAGTTCCAACAAAAAGCTTGACACCAAAGGTGAAGGCAACCCGATTGGTTAGCACACATCCATAAACATTCACTCCCTCCATCACCGACACCATAGGATTAGTGTACCATCTCGAAGATCCTTATTAAGGCTCTATAATAGGGGCATAGAGTGTAATGCAAGGAGATGATGTTGCATTTGTAGAACTAGCAAAACTGGATATAACTCTCCACTGGCTGGAGTTATATCTGGCACGTATGGTTGTTGGAGGTCAGTCAGCACAGCTCCAGGATCTTTGTCCAGGAGTTCCTCAGGATAGTTTCATAGGCCCCACCATCTTCAGCTGCTTCGTTAACATCCATCTCTCTATCTCAAAGTCAGGAGATATTTGCCCATGATTGCACAATGTTCAGCACCATTCTTCACTCCTCATATTTAAAGCAGTCCGTATTCAAATGCAACAAGATCTGGTCAACATCCAGACTTGGGCTGACAAGTGGCAAGTAACTTTCTTGCCACACAAATGCCAGGCAATGATTGTCTCTAATAAGACGCAATCTACCTAACACTTTTGAATGTCAAGGAGTGATATCAGGACTGAATTTGCCACTATGAACATCCTTTGGGATACCATTAACCGGAAACTCAACTGGACTTGCTACAAAAAAAAAAAGTGGCTACAAAAGCAGGCCAGAGGCTCGGAGTACTGTGGTGAGTAACTCACCTTCGACTCCCCAAAGCCTGTCCACCATCTATAAGGCATAAGTCAGAAGTGTGATGGAATACTCCCCACTTGCCTGGATGGGTGCAGCTTCAACAACACTCAAGCAGCTTGACACCATCCAGGGCAAAGCAGCCTGCTATTTTTGGAACCACATCTGCTTCCTCCATCACTGATGCTCAGTTGCAGCAGCATGTACAATCGACAAGATACATTGCAGAAATTCACCAAAGATCCTTAGACAGCATTTTACCAAACCCATGACCACTTCCATCTAGAAGGACAAGGGCAGCAGGAACATGGAAACACCATCACCTGCAAGTTCCCTTCCAAGCCACTCCTCATCCTGACTTGAAAATATATCACTGTTCCTTCACTGTCACTGAGTCAAAATCCTGGAATTCCCTCCCAACACATTGTGGGTTAAACCCTCGGCACGTAGACTGCAGCGGTTCAAAAGGCACCACCATCCCTCTTAAAGGCATCTAGGGACAGGCAATAAATGCTGGCTGGTCAGCTAGCCAGTAATGCTCATGTCCCATAAACAAATTAAAAAAGACACTTATTAGAGACCTCAGCTGGACTATTAAGTATAGTTTTGGGTGCCACATTACATGAAAGATGTGAATTTATTGGAGAAAGTGTAGAAGTGACTTACAATAATTAATCCAGGAATGTAAAGCTTCAATTATGAGTATAGATTAAAGATGTTGGGACTGTACTCCTTGGCAGAAGGCGGCTGAGAGGAGATCTGATCGAGGTTTTCAAAATCATGAGCAGACCGGACAGAGTAGATAGGGAAATACTGTTTGCACTCATAAAAGAAACAAGAACGAGACGGCACAGACGTAAAATAATATGCCAACGAAGCAAGGACGGCGAGGAAAAATAACTAAAACAACACCAAGTAGTTTGGGCATGAAATACACTGCCTGGAAAAGTGGAGCAGGCAGGTTCAATTGAGACATCTAAGAGGGCATTGGATGATTATATAGATAGAAATAGTATGCAGGGATATGGGGAAAAAGGAGATTAGGATGAAGTAACAGAACCGGAGCAGACATGACGAGCCAAATGGCTTCCTTCTGTGTTGTAACAACGGGTGGCTCAGTGGTTAGCACTACTGCTTCACAGTGCCAGGGACCTGGGTTCAATTCCAACCTTGGGCGACTATCTGTGTGGAGTTTGCACATTCTCCCCACGTCTGCATGGGTTTCCTCTGGGTGTTCTTGTTTCCTCCCAAAGACATGCAGGCAGGTGGATTGGGTCATGCTAATTTGCCGAGAGTCCAGGGATGTCAGGTGGATTAGCCATGGGAAATGCAGGGCTACAGGTATAGGGTGGGGGGAGTGGGTTTGGGTGGGATAGTCTTCAGAGGGTTGGTGTGGACTCCATGGGCTGAATGGCCTGCTTCCATGCTGTTAGGATTCTATAATTCTGTGATTCTGAGAAAATGCACTGCAGAAGTTCAACATTGCTCCACAAATTGCTTGCAAACCCATGGCACTGCCATCTAGATGGACAACAGCTACATGAAGACCAGAACTTACAAGTTCTTCTCCAAGCCTTCACCATCCTGACTTGGAGATATTCTTTCATTGTTGCTCAAAGCCCTGTGGGTGTACTGATACCAAATGGACTGCAGCAGACCACTACCTTCTTCAGGACAATTAGGGATTGGTATTAAATGCTAGCCCAGTCAGCAACATCCAAAGAAAATAAGATCTACCTTATTTGTCCTGAACTTCTACAGGAAAAACTTCCTTTTCTCATATTACAAATCATAATTTGTGCCAATTTTAACCTTCACAGGCAAATATCTCACATTCACATTGACATTGACATAAGCTGCACTAAACATTAGGATCCAAACTCTGCACCAATACATATGACTATACTATTCTTGACACCCCATATAGCTCAAGTTTAAGACATCCTTCATGACTTCATGTCTCTTGTTTCTATTTTATTCATAGGGATTACAATCATTGAAATAAAACTTCACACGTATATGTGCAAAGTTTCCACAAATATATTTTAACAATGCTATCCATTTAAGGAAATATTAATTCAGCTAATTGTTTAACACCAAGTTTGAAACTTAGTAAGCCTTCACTGAAAACATTTTGTAGCACACTATACCTACCATTCCAGTGCAGTTTATCTTCCCCAGTAACCAATGATAACTGGGCTTGCAGTATGCTTTACCCAGTTATCAGGACAGAGTGGAGTAGCTGAGGCCTTGCATAACTTTATTGTAAATTTATAAACAAACATGCAAGTTTCAAATGTAAAATCAAATGAAATGAAGTGCAGTCAAACATTTACCTCAGACATGCTGGAGGTCCACGACTTCCATTTTACAAAGCAAAGGGAGAATAAAATAAAAAAAAGGGGAAAGATAGACAATAAAACATCAATAATTATCAGCACTAATATCAAGTTACTCTGCAAAGCCATTTTAGACTCATACTTAACTCATCCTGGTCTACAATAGTGTTTCTAGATCTTTAACTATAACATCTCAATAAAATAATTTACCAAGTGTGCACTCACAGAGTGAACTTATTTATACAATACACCATTCAAATCAGTTTTTAATGTGTTTTTGTTTCGTTTTCATTTAAAAGCAAAGACCATCATTTCATTTATTGGCATTGGGACACGAAAGCGATCAACTTCACAGAGAACAGCAATTCCTTAAGCATTATGCAGCTTCTGCCGATGGCAGTAAGAAACCAAAAAACACATCTTTTGACTTACATCAAATGGAAAGCAGCAGTTCAGAAAAATAAAAAAAATCAAAATCCCACTCCAAGCTGTTGGCATCCTGGCCCCTCAAGTACAGCTCACTAATAAATTCGATGTTTACCCAGTAATATATACAATTGTTACTGCAACATGCAAATGATTACTATACACAATTTAATATGCTGTAAGGCTATGGTGAATTCCAAAAGGGAATTAAAACAAAATTAACCCACTTGCTCATTTGTTCTACTAAATTTGATAATATAATTCATTGCTATATTGTAACTTTTGAGCCTAGTTTTAATATAATAACTTAAGAGTTACGAAGATAGTTACATTAGGCCCTGGCCATACACCAAAAGTAAAGAGTGCAAACAAAGTTTGCTGAACAAATGAAAATTATCCAGCACGTCAATTTAATCTGTTATGACATTCTATTTTTAACCCTGAGTACTGCAAGCTCGTTTGCAGTTTACAAAATACGTTTTCTGTCACAGAATACCTGCAGAAACGACTTTCTGTTCATTTCTAATGCTGCACCTCACAATTATTTGGAAAATAGAATTGAGAAATATACAGGGACAACTGAGCATTTCTAAATCTGTTGACTTCTTGAATGGACAATTGTAATTTCCTTTGTTTCCTTATTTTGGTGCAGAAATGCCACTGCAGTCCTCAAAGGGTTAAAGTAGAGTTTATAAACGTTCATAGGTAGCACACACACAAACTTTATTCACTTCTACAACATGGGTCCATTCCACTTAGCTCATCTGGAACAGTAACCCATAACACTGGTTAATTGATGATGATCAATGGGAACTTGGAAGTCACTGCATGGCATTTTCAATTGCCAGTTTTGTCACTAGTCCTCTATTTTGATGGGCCTTACAATGCTTGTTCAGACAAAGTATGGCAGGAGCTGTCACTGAATTAGTGACACATTCTGTTTAAGTGCTCATGTTTGCCATTGCTAGAGCAGGGCATGTACATTGCACACTTTGCTGCTTACTTTAGCTCATGGAACAGAATCCTTACAAAAATAACTGACTTTTTTGGGAGATGAACTATCACATTTTCAAAAAGATTTGGAGGAGTGAAGGAGGAACCACTTAATTATTTCTTATATTTAGAGTAAAGAACGAGCATACATCAGTAAGACAAGTAGATTTCATGAATCATATACCACAATTAGCTTCTAGTTGATTTTCTAATACACTTCAGCTTCAAGTAATTGACTTAAGTCTATCTCATCATGTAAAATCCAAAATGGCTTTTAGCTTGGGCTGATGTAGCACCTCTTTTCCAGATGATGTTTCGCTCTTTATTTGTGGTATGCTTCTAGCTTTCCAGTATCTGGGGGCAGGAATCTGCATGGGAGAGTTTTGACATGACATCACTGTTGTCAGTTTGTGTGCATGCAGTTTTCATTTTCTACATCGTTCTCGTTGCAATCTTCGTCACTCTCCCGCTGGACGCATAAAGATGCAGAAGTTTCCTTCTTAGCAGTATGATCGTGTGCAAAATAGCCAGTACCACTGATTGTATCTTGTCTCTGGTAGAAGAGGACATAAGCTGCTTTGGACTGTTGGAATGAAAAAGAATGCAGGTTCATTTATTATGAAATGTCTGCTCACATCAAATTCAGTGACCACAATCCCCAGGCCACATTTCAGCAGAACCATTGCTGTTTTGATATTTAACTATTTTACAAAATACAACAGATCTGTTTCAAATGTGAATTCAACCATGTCAAGCATTTAAACACAATTTTTGTTTTATTAGTTGTTTCTTTTAGTTCTCCACCTTTGGATGGGAAACAATCAAGGACACAGTTTTTCAGCTCATGAGTAAGCCATCTAAAGACCCAATAATTTTTGTTGGGTAAGGAAATAATGGGAAGATATTGGGGATAAATATACCAAAATGATGAGAAATATATGTTGTTAGCACAAGTAAATACAAGGAATTACAGCGGTCTTCAAATAATGGCACAATGGTAGAATTTTCATTTAACATCCCTCCCCGCCCCAGACATTCAAGTATTATTAAATTCTGATTCAGACAGCTTTGCAAGACAAAGAATTAATTGTAAAATCATTAATCTTTTGGATACGCTAAGACACACCTGCAGGGCAGGTAAGACTTGAAACCGGATCTTCCGGCCTAGAGGAAGGGACAGTATCGTTGTGGTTATTTTAATCAACTTGATTTGAAATGCTATGACATGTCCAGGGCAGTTGGGTCTTGAAATTAGGCCTTCTAGCCCAGAGGTCAGGAGACTATCATTGCATGCAAGAGCTTCAAACTTACTTTTAATCCAACTCTTACAGCACACTTTCAGGACAGGTGCACTTGAATTCAGAACCTTCTGGCTCAAATTAGGGATATTACCACTGCACAAGATCATCTGCGTAATTATTTTAACTAACTTATTCAGACATGCAATGACATGTGCAGAACAAGTGGGTCTTGAGGCCAGACCTCCTGGTCCCAGAGACAAGGACGCTAGCACAGCTCCAAAATATCATCAGGAGCTCATTGGATATTAAGTGTTTTTAATTATATGCAGGCAAGTATTAACTGGTGATTTATTTGAACCCCGACACAGATTGAAGCAAAATTTGTTAGCCTGCCTTAAATAAATATTAAAAATTGAAGACGATGCCAATTCTGCACTTCTCTAATTACAGTTTGAATTGTAACAATGAAGTAATACTGTTGTATTGGGCATGCCATATCTCAAATTAGACGACAAATTTGTCTATGGTCTGCCAAATACAATGGGTCCCACAATATTATTTGCAGAAAATTTATGATTTTTCTTAGTGACCAGGGAAACTTTTGTTTCTTAAACATCTTTTGTTGTCTTCAGTACCTTGCTGTATGCAAATTAACACTTATGCTGGGTTACATTATATTTAATCTTCTTGCAAGATCTGTTCCATTGTATAATGGCTACACTTAACAGGCAAGATGCTTTGCAATGCTCAAGGGCTTGCAAGATGCCAAGTAAATAAAGTTTTTTTATTTGTAACAAAGTGATGGAAGCATCACAAATTTGCACTGTTGAGTGAAGTAAATCAATTCTTTTTAAAGAAAGGACTTTTACACCTGTCTGTACAGCCAGTTATGAAGAAAATACAGCATTCCGTTATCAGGAAAAGTGGTACTGGAAAAAAAATACTTGCCACTATTTGGTCTTCTATTGCCGATGAAACACTGGTGTCATCAAAATAGTACCATTTATTGTCATCTTTGTTCTTGGCAAAGGCTGTGTCTTTTGGATAAAGGCAAGTTAGCACAACTGATAAGAGAAATGCAGGCTAGCAATATTCTGTGATAGTAGTAACTGCAGATGCTGGAGAATCTGAGATAACAAGGTGTAGAGCTGGATGAACACAGCAGGCCAAGCAGCATTAGAGCAGCAGGAAGGCTGACGTTTTGGGTCTAGACACTTCTTCAGAAATGGG